TCGTGCAGTTAAGACGATATCAAAGTCTCATGTGAAGAATATTGAACGATTCAAGCAAGAGATAGCGATTATGAAGATGCTGGATCATCCCAATATTATAAAACTGTTCGAGACATTGAGGGATCATCGTAACATTATTCTCGTCATGGAACTCTGCACGGGAGGTAAGGATTGCTGCTAAGTACGACTCCATCACTGCTTCTTCAGGCGAGCTTTTCGATCGGATTATTGAAGTTGGGCATTTCACTGAAGTCCAGGCGGCTATCGTCATGCAACAGATCCTCCGAGCGATATACTACATGCATGAGAACCATATAATGCACCGTGATTTGAAACCGGAGAACTTTCTCTTCTCCACAAAAGAGCCGCTTGAGAAGTCCTGTTTGAAACTCATCGACTTCGGCCTTAGCACGAAGTTTGGCAAAGATGATACCATGACGACCAAGGCTGGCACTCCTTACTACGTTGCCCCGCAAGTACTCGGTGGGAAGTATAATGAGGCATGTGACCTCTGGAGCTGCGGCGTTATAATGTAAGCTGCTTTGCATCTCTCCTCGCATATCTACGGTTGCCGACGGCTCTTAGTGGTATGGTTTCACGAGTAAATCGCTCTCGTCGAAATGCCGCACGCCTTGATGAAGTCGACCCTAGGTACATTCTCCTGTGTGGTTACCCTCCCTTCTATGGCGAGACTGATGCTGACGTTCTCACTAAAGTGCGGCTGGGGAACTACACGTTCAACGCTGCTGATTGGAAGGGAGTATCTGAAGATGCCAAGGACCTTATTCGGAAGCTGTTGAAGATCAATCCTAAAGATCGTTATACTGGTAAGAGAAGCTTACACCTGTCATTTCTCTGTCGCGGAATGATTGGTGTATCGTGTATTCCCGCTTCCTCGTTAGCCGAGCAAGCTTTGAACCACATATGGGTACGCAACAAGGCTCCTAAGGCCCAGGGAATGCCATTGGAAGGGGCGCAAATAGAGAACTTGAAGTCCTTCCGCAGTCAGAATAAACTCAAGAAGG